TCTCTCTCTCTCTCTCTCTCTCTCTCTCTCTCTCTCTCTCTCTCTCTCTCTCTCTCTCTCTCTCTCTCTCTCTCTCTCTACATGCCGCTGCTCTTACATGAAGTCACCCATCAGTTCACTTGCTCCTCACGTACAGTGTGCTGCGCGCTCCCAGACCCAGCCTCCTCCTCCTCCTCCTCCTCCTCCTCCTCCTCCTCCTCCTCCGTCATCCTTTGGCTCAACTCTGCTCGTTTTATTACATGTTGGATTTTTGCGCAGACTCTCCGGTTTGGCGCATTTTAGCGCATAAAAACGGATCTAGTGTATTTTCTTTGTGGTGAAATTGTGGACGGCACAGATGTGGACTCACATACAGCTCTAAATAATAATAATAATCAGAATAATAATAATAATAATAATGATAATAATAATAATAATAATAATAATAATAATAATAATAATAATAATAATCAGAATAATCAGAATATTAGTAATAATGATAATCGATGGTTTCTCCGGTCCGTCGTTATCAGCTGAGAGCAGGATGAAGATACTGTCAGGGTGGAGAGTGGACTCATTTATCATCTGATTCTCTCTGTAAAGTCTGTCCGGATCCTATTATTATCATACAGACTCACATTCTTACAGGATAAATATCAAATGAGGTTCGACAGAATATAAAAAGGACATTTGGAGCCGATCTCAGCCCACCCAGACTTTAATGTTACAACCATTCATACATTTACACAGATTTCATTTCTCTCATATTTCCATTCAGCTCTGAAAAGCTCCCTGCAGCCCGAGTGTCCAGTGAAATACTGCCACCTACAGGTGTAATGATGCAGCTGCACATGTCTGAACCACAGCCCTGAGCTGCAGAAAGGAGGAGGACTGTTTGTTTGGAGACCTGGAGGCTGCAGATCCAGAACCACACATGAAGAACCCGAGTCTGTAGTCCGGAGTCGTCGTTGTTTGCAGCAGCGTCACTGAGTTCAGGTTTTCACCAAGTTATTCAGGTAAAAACATCAAACTGTAAAACCTCTCAGTGTGAGAGTGACAACACCTGACAACAAGGAAACGCAGAGAGGTGGAGAAACCTTTAATTTACATTAATGAAAATATAACCAGTATTTTTGTTTTTACATTAATGGATAAAAGATGAAATTCTGATCATGATCAGAAAAGAGCGTCTCCTGTGTCTGAGTGTAAAGAGTCACTGAGAACCTGACCAGGATCAGAACAGCTTTATAATCTTTATAAACTAAAACTCATTCAGATTAAACATCTCTGTTGAGAGTGTCCCGAACTCAGACTGTTTATTATCTACAGACTCCTCTGTTCCTCCTCCCTCCAGTTTAAAGAAAAATTCTCCCTAATTCTGCGTTTTTTTTCTCCACTTCCTGAAACCAACATTGTTCAGTAGCGTTGTACGTATTCGGCGGGAGAGTCGCTGTGATGACACTTGTATCCCCCGGTGATCTACTCAATCTCTGTCCTCCCATAGGCTGTATCAGGTGTCAATCATAGAAAACATGAACCCCCTAATAACTTTTAAAAATGGAGCTGTACAGAAAAAAGAGGACTTGAGCACAAACCAGTCTGACAGTAACTACATGTCAACATCACAACCAGGGGGGAGAAACATTTATATTCTGTGTCATTCATTTATAAAGTTTGTCCACAGCTCCATAAGGAGGCGGGGTTTAGGACCTATACTGCAGCCCGTCACCAGAGGGCGCTGTTCTCAGAGAGAGGAGGCAGACGGCGTCTATTCTAGATACGGTCTGTAGTCCTGACTCCTGACCACGACCGGCAGCAGCAGCAGCAGCGTTAATTTCTAACGATGAACAGCTGAAGTGACAAACATGATACAACAATCCGACTAAAACACACATGATCGTGTGTTAAAGTCGAGACTAACGACAGAGTTAATGTGAGAAATCTGTGCAGGAACACCAACCCTGTTAGGAACGTGTGGACACGCCCCTGAACATGTGACCTTAGAGACGAGGAGAGCAGGTTCAGAGTGAAGAGGAGACGTGGACGAATGTTCTCATCATGAGGTCGATCTGTGAGCGTCTCCTCATGGCTCTGATCTTACTTTTATATTGTTCGTTCACTTCAAACCTTTCCTTGTTTCCTTTCCTGTCACCTAAAAGGATAGTTTAGTGTATGAGGTTGGCATGAAGTGTGTGACACTGTCAGAGGATCCAGAGAAGGAGAACCGAAGCTTCAGCGGAGAGGAGGTCAGCTCCTGGTCTGGGTATAGATGTTAGTATAGTCTAGTGGGTATAGATGTTCGCTGTATTTAGAAAGTGTTCAGCTCTTTATCTCACCATCAGGACATCTATTTGTTTTTGTTCTACACACACGCTTTCTTTACCATTAACAAGGACGTACTGTCCCTTTAAGAAGATGAATCTTTTACCGCCGTCGTCTCCTCTCTGTATGAATCTACAGTTTTATTTCAGGCAGGAGTGTGTGACCTTCTCTGACCTCTGTGTGTTTTTAAAAGCTCCAAACGTTCGTCTCTGTTCAAAAGGTTTTCATGTTTTTGAGCGTCTGAACGACCACGACTCTGAACAGTCAGGGTCAGATCTGCAGACGCTGCTGAAAACCTCCGCGCTGACATTTTCCCGCTGCTGATGGCGCGGGGAGGGGGGGGTCCAGCTGTCCGCTCCTCATTATGAGCCGCTCTGATTGGACATGAGTCGGAGATGTCAGACCTGTTACCTGTTAGGTTTCCCTCAGGACTGACCGGATGGCAGCAGGACCTCACTGGTCGGAGAGGAAGTTAAAAAAAAAACACAGAAAATAAACTTTTAAACTTTTTTACACCTTTAGTATTTCAGAGATATGTGATGATGTGAGATTTAAAACACCTCTCTGTAAGGATCAAAATAAGATAACTAAGTTAACACCCTCATGTGCAGTTCCACGTATGGCCACTAGAGGCTCGCGTCCAAAGTGAGTCAGTCCTCATCAGGTCCCACATCCAGAAACTTAAACATGAACAGACTTTGTATAGAAACAGTTTTGGGTGTTTTTTAGTTTCTCTTTTATGAGATCATCTTTAAAGTTTCATTTTTTTGATATCAGCTCAAAGTTTCAGATTTTTCGAGACCTCACGTTGAGGTCGGATCGGCTGCTGGCCCCAGTTTTTAGCCGGTGAAGTACGTGTGTTGTTTTTGTTCATATTTAGGTACCTGTCTATGAGCTCATCGTCATACAAACACAGATTTATCTTTGATGGGAGTCCGAATTTTCGTTGAAAGGGTTCGTCAGAACTGAAGAAGTCCAGATGCCCTGAGTACGAACCCTGACCCGGATGATTCAGAACCAGAACCAGAACCAGAACCCTGAACTTGATGATCCGTACAGAGCGGCGAGGCTGATGGCGGTCACTCTGGATTATAGCTCTCCGTTTTCAGAGCCAATCACAGACGAGGATTCGTTTGGAGCGGTTCCCTAACTTCCTGTTGTCCTGAAGAGAGCGGTCCTCCTGAACTCCAGACCCTGAGAGACTCTGAGAGGAGAAATCAGGGGTTCGAGGCCCGAGTGGAGACCATCTGATGAGACACAGAAGATGAAGTTTTCTTTAAAATACGATTTAAACTGAAGAGTTTCTGCTGAACTTTGCTGTAAAATCTGCTTTTCTTTGAGGTCGACGGTCTGTCAGACGTTTATCTTAAAATCTGATCAGAAGTCTGGACCTAAAGAGTTTTTAATTTTCCCGTACAGCTCTGAGGACGGCGTTTTGTTGTTTTTAATGTGTTTTATAAATAAACTTAAATAAACATGTTAAAACTCTTCGGTCAGGTCTGTAAACCTGAAGCTCTTCTTCTTCAGGAGCTCCTGCTCAGCGGCGGTTCCTCGGCTTGTTCTGAAATGAACTCTAACCCTCTGAAAGTCCATTTAAAGCCTCACGCCGCACCGCAGAGATGTGTTCATTAGGATTATTACACCATCGCTTCAAGCTTCCCCCACAGACAGGACCAGCCTGCAGCGGGCCAGATGCAATCTACTTCATGAAAATTACCATAACAACACAAATCTGTGCAGGAGACGTGCATGCAAATGAAACGGCAATGAAAGAAGAGCGCGGCTCCAATCAAGCTGTCATAACACCCAGAATAATAACAACTGGAAGCCATTAAAACCTTTCAGTCCGAACGGTTACACCTCACTGTGCGAAGAATAGGACTGAGAGGCCCTCGTCTCTCTCTCTCAGCAGATTCACTCCTGGTTTTATCCGGCCCACATCCATCATCTGCAGATTCTAATGAGACATTCATCAAGAGGACTCTGCTGGAGAAACAACAATTATCCATCTCCATGTCACCTGCTCCTGTTTGGACCTCACAGACACTCAGTTTTCTATTGTTTATAAGAATGTTTCACATCCATTCATCATCGCTCTGAAAACGAGCAGCTTACACGACAGATTCATGTCTGTTTATCCCCTCGACATTAAAGGGACAGTGCAGGGTTTTCACTGTATTGTGGGGTTATAAAGTGTGTTGGTCAGAATGGATGCAGGTCATGTAAGTGAGGCGACAGTTTCCTGTAGGCGGAGTCACGTCGACCTCGTCAAACAGTCGTCTTTCAGAGACTCGTCTTGGTTTAATGATCAGAGAGTTAAAACGAACAAACTCTGAAAATAACAGAAATACTGTCTCTGTGTTTCATTCATTCAAATGAAAAATTATTTACTATTGTTGATTCATTGGGTGGTTAAAGCTCCTGTGAAGAACTTTTGGAATATGTCGGTCTTTGCGCCCCCCTGTGGACATGCTGTAGTATTGATTTATCTCATCCTGGTAACAGTCACATTAGTCATTCATCGTGAGGCTGTAATGAAGGGAACTCTAAACACATTTCTGTTTGTTCAGCTGTAAGACTCGAACCTTCACCCACGCTCGGGTTTCACACACTGAAAATGTTCAGATGTTCGGTCTCCTCTATGATGGTTTTGTTTGTGTTTGTATATTATTATAAAAGCATCAACATGAATTTCAGTCGAGTTCATAAACGTCAAAAACTCCTTATAGGAGCTTTAAATAAGCTGAACTACATTAATTTCTGAATATGTAAAACAGTCAGTAAGGATCTACGTCCACTCTGCAGGTTCTGATGCACAGCTCAGAGTTTTTGTTAAATCCGATCTTTTTGTGCGGTCGTTCACGTTACAACAACGAATGCGTCCGTGAAGTGACCCTCATGTGCACAAAGCACAAACTGCTTTCCACGCCTGTTTGTGTTGTTGAACAATGGTGACGTTTGTCTCATATTGATGACGTAAAGGTCGGATGAACGCGACCTGAGCGTCACACTGCAGTCACATCAGATACATATCTGATTTATATCCACATACAGAAGAGGCCTGGGTCGGATCAGAACCAATCAGAACTGACCTGTTCACACTAAGATGAAAACATCAGATATGAGTCACAGATGGTTAAAACATCAGAATGACCTGCAGTCTGAACGTCGCCTTAGTCTTCTTCTGCTCTTTTATCGATTCAGTTATTGATCTTAGTTTAATTCTTTGTCTGTCTGTCGTTTCATGCTCACTTTTTCCCTCTTTCTTTATTTACCAGTTTAATTTGTTTCCGACTGAATTATCAGAATCTGTTCCCTCTGACCCAGCAGAGCTGACCATCACCTGTCGTAGATTCTCCTTCACCTCCTGGAGTCATGTCGCTCACAGACCCCCTGATCTAAAATGACGGACTGTCCCTTTAATGTGACTTTTTCCTTGATTATCTCAGACTGCTGAGTGTTAGTGTCGTTTTATATGACTGTTGTACAGCTGTGTGACTGTTTGACCCGACTGTTTCTGACTGTTCCTGACTGTTTCTGACTGTTTCTGACTGTTCCTGACTGTTTCTGACTGTTCCTGACTGTTTCTGACTGTTCCTGACTGTTCCTGACTGTTGCAGACTGTTTGACCCGACTGTTCCTGACTGTTTCTGACTGTTTGACCTGACTGTTTCTGACTGTTCCTGACTGTTCCTGACTGTTTCTGACTGTTTGACCTGACTGTTCCTGACTGTTCCTGACTGTTCCTGACTGTTTGACCTGACTGTTCCTGACTGTTCCTGACTGTTTCTGACTGTTTGACCTGACTGTTTCTGACTGTTTCTGACTGTTTCTGACTGTTTGACCTGACTGTTCCTGACTGTTTCTGACTGTTCCTGACTGTTCCTGACTGTTGCAGACTGTTTGACCCGACTGTTTCTGACTGTTCCTGACTGTTCCTGACTGTTTGACCCGACTGTTTCTGACTGTTCCTGACTGTTCCTGACTGTTCCTGACTGTTCCTGACTGTTGCAGACTGTTTGACCCGACTGTTTCTGACTGTTCCTGACTGTTCCTGACTGTTTGACCCGACTGTTTCTGACTGTTTCTGACTGTTCCTGACTGTTCCTGACTGTTCCTGACTGTTTGACCCGACTGTTTCTGACTGTTCCTGACTGTTCCTGACTGTTCCTGACTGTTCCTGACTGTTTGACCTGACTGTTCCTGACTGTTCCTGACTGTTTCTGACTGTTCCTGACTGTTTCTGACTGTTCCTGACTGTTCCTGACTGTTCCTGACTGTTCCTGACTGTTTGACCTGACCGTTCCTGACTGTTCCTGACTGTTCCTGACTGTTCCTGACCGTTCCTGACTGTTTGACCCGACTGTTCCTGACTGTTTCTGACTGTTTCTGACTGTTTCTGACTGTTTGACCTGACTGTTTCTGACTATTTCTGACTGTTCCTGACTGTTTCTGACTGTTTGACCCGACTGTTTCTGACTGTTTCTGACTGTTTGACCTGACTGTTCCTGACTGTTTCTGACTGTTTGACCTGACTGTTCCTGACTGTTCCTGACTGTTTCTGACTGTTTGACCTGACTGTTCCTGACTGTTCCTGACTGTTCCTGACTGTTTGACCTGACTGTTCCTGACTGTTCCTGACTGTTCCTGACTGTTCCTGACTGTTTCTGACTGTTTGACCTGACTGTTCCTGACTGTTTCTGACTGTTCCTGACTGTTCCTGACTGTTCCTGACTGTTGCAGACTGTTTGACCTGACTGTTCCTGACTGTTCCTGACTGTTCCTGACTGTTTGACCTGACTGTTCCTGACCATTCCTGACTGTTTCTGACTGTTCCTGACTGTTCCTGACTGTTGCAGACTGTTTGACCTGACTGTTCCTGACTGTTTCTGACTGTTCCTGACTGTTCCTGACTGTTCCTGACTGTTCCTGACTGTTGCAGACTGTTTGACCTGACTGTTCCTGACTGTTTCTGACTGTTCCTGACTGTTCCTGACCGTTCCTGACTGTTCCTGACTGTTCCTGACTGTTGCAGACTGTTTGACCTGACTGTTCCTGACTGTTTCTGACTGTTCCTGACTGTTTCTGACTGTTCCTGACTGTTCCTGACTGTTCCTGACTGTTCCTGACTGTTCCTGACTGTTGCAGACTGTTTGACCTGACTGTTCCTGACTGTTTCTGACTGTTCCTGACTGTTTCTGACCGTTCCTGACTGTTCCTGACTGTTTCTGACCGTTTCTGACTGTTCCTGACTGTTCCTGACTGTTGCAGACTGTTCCTGACTGTTCCTGACTGTTGCAGACTGTTCCTGACTGTTTCTGACTGTTCCTGACTGTTCCTGGCTGTTTCTGACTGTTTCTGACTGTTGCAGACTGTTTCTGACTGTTTCTGACTGTTTGACCTGACTGTTCCTGACTGTTCCTGACTGTTTCGGACTGTTTCTGACTGTTTCTGACTGTTTGACCTGACTGTTCCTGACTGTTCCTGACTGTTTCGGACTGTTTCTGACTGTTTGACCTGACTGTTTCTGACTGTTCCTGACTGTTCCTGACTGTTCCTGACTGTTGCAGACTGTTCCTGACTGTTTCTGACTGTTTCTGACTGTTTCTGACTGTTTCTGACTGTTTCTGACTGTTTGACCTGACTGTTCCTGACTGTTTCTGACTGTTTCGGACTGTTTCGGACTGTTTCTGACTGTTTGACCTGACTGTTTCTGACTGTTCCTGATTGTTCCTGACTGTTCCTGACTGTTGCAGACTGTTCCTGACTGTTTCTGACTGTTTCTGACTGTTTGACCTGACTGTTCCTGACTGTTCCTGACTGTTTCTGACTGTTTCTGACTGTTTCTGACTGTTTGACCTGACTGTTTCTGACTGTTCCTGACTGTTCCTGACTGTTCCTGACTGTTGCAGACTGTTCCTGACTGTTGCAGACTGTTCCTGACCGTTCCTGACTGTTTCTGACTGTTCCTGACTGTTGCAGACTGTTCCTGACCGTTCCTGACTGTTCCTGACTGTTTCTGACCGTTTCTGACTGTTCCTGACTGTTTCTGACTGTTCCTGACTGCTGCAGTTGTTCAGACTGTTCCTGACTGTTTCTGACTGTTGCAGACTGTTCCTGACTGTTTCTGACTGTTTCTGACTGTTTCTGACTGTTTGACCTGACTGTTCCTGACTGTTCCTGACTGTTTCGGACTGTTTCTGACTGTTTCTGACTGTTTCTGACTGTTTGACCTGACTGTTTCTGACTGTTCCTGACTGTTCCTGACTGTTCCTGACTGTTGCAGACTGTTCCTGACTGTTGCAGACTGTTCCTGACTGTTTCTGACTGTTCCTGACCGTTCCTGACTGTTCCTGACTGTTTCTGACCGTTTCTGACTGTTCCTGACTGTTCCTGACTGTTCCTGACTGTTGCAGACTGTTCCTGACCGTTCCTGACAGTTCCTGACTGTTTCTGACCGTTCCTGACTGTTCCTGACCGTTGCAGACTGTTCCTGACTGTTCCTGACTGTTGCAGACTGCTGCAGTTGTTCAGACTGTTCTCTGTCATGATATCGATGTTCTGAGTGAAGACCACGTTCACAGGAGGAAGAACTGATTTCGTTTCTGTAGTTTCTGCTGAATTAAAATGTTGTTGAAATCTTTCTGGTTGTTTGACTGACAGGTGGAGTAAAAACTTTGAACTCAAACTGAAATGTAGAAATAGTCATAATAAAGCAGCTGATAGATGTGAGTCCTGACAGAGTGATCATCTGTATTGTCGGACTATTTGTTGTAATTTTTCAAACCCGAGTCTTTGACTTTGATTCATCAGCCAACCTTTAATTATTTCCCCGGGGAAATTAATCTGGAGAATCGGAGCGCTGAGGCTTCCTCTCAATCTCATTAGATCATCAATTTTTCTGTTTGACAACGCTGCGTACATTCAGATGAACGTTCATTATTTGTTCATGATAATTACTCTGAATTCACACTCTGCTGAGCCTCAAACACACAAACATTCATTTATCTCAGCACAGACTCAGGTCTGGGTTTAGGTTTGGACCAGCTCACTTTGGTGACTCCGACACCTTTGGACTGAAGACGATTGATTTTGGCGCCCCCCAGTGGACAAAGTGGTGACCTTTGTAATGTTGCTGATTTTGTCATGTCCGTGTGGAAGCTGTGTTAGCGGACCAAAAATCTCCTGTTGTCCTTTTAAAGTGAAATATACACTCACCGGCCACTTTATTAGGTACACCTGTCCAACTGCTCGTTAACACTTAATTTCTAATCAGCCAATCACATGGCGGCAACTTAGTGCATTTAGGCATGTAGACATGGTCAAGACAATCTCCTGCAGTTCAAACCGAGCATCAGTAAGGGGAAGAAAGGTGATTTGAGTGACTTTGAACGTGGCATGGTTGTTGGTGCCAGAAGGGCTGGTCTGAGTATTTCAGAAACTGCTGATCTACTGGGATTTTCACGCACAACCATCTCTAGGGTTTACAGAGAATGGTCCGAAAAAGAAAAAATATCCAGTGAGCAGCAGTTCTGTGGGCGGAAATGCCTTGTTGATGCCAGAGGTCAGAGGAGAATGGCCAGACTGGTTCGAGCTGATAGAAAGGCAACAGTGACTCAAATAACCACCCGTTACAACCAAAGTAGGCAGAAGAGCATCTCTGAACGCACAGTACGTCAAACTTTGAGGCAGATGGGCTACAGCAGCAGAAGACCACGCCTGGTGCCACTCCTTTCAGCTAAGAACAGGAAACTGAGGCTACAATTTGCACAAGCTCATCGAAATTGGACAATAGAAGATTGGAAAAACGTTGCCTGGTCTGATGAGTCTCGATTTCTGCTGCGACATTCGGATGGTAGGGTCAGAATTTGGCGTCAACAACATGAAAGCATGGATCCATCCTGCCTTGTATCAACGGTTCAGGCTGGTGGTGGTGGTGTCATGGTGTGGGGAATATTTTCTTGGCACTCTTTGGGCCCCTTGGTACCAATTGAGCATCGTTGCAACGCCACAGCCTACCTGAGTATTGTTGCTGACCATGTCCATCCCTTTATGACCACAATGTACCCAACTTCTGATGGCTACTTTCAGCAGGATAATGCGCCATGTCATAAAGCTGGAATCATCTCAGACTGGTTTCTTGAACATGACAATGAGTTCACTGTACTCAAATGGCCTCCACAGTCACCAGATCTCAATCCAATAGAGCATCTTTGGGATGTGGTGGAACGGGAGATTCGCATCATGGATGTGCAGCCGACAAATCTGCGGCAACTGTGTGATGCCATCATGTCAATATGGACCAAGCTCTCTGAGGAATGCTTCCAGCACCTTGTTGAATCTATGCCACGAAGAATTGAGGCAGTTCTGAAGGCAAAAGGGGGTCCAACCCGTTACTAGCATGGTGTACCTAATAAAGTGGCCGGTGAGTGTATATCGCTCACTGTTGTTCGAAATCTGCTCCTGCTGGTCATTTTAAAGAATGCAGACTTCAGCTCACGGACTCTAATTCAAAAATATAAACCCAGTTTGTTTGTTCTGGAGAACCACAGTCCAGATACCAGTTAGACACGACAAAAGCTGCGATTTGTATGTTTGAGGATGATCCGATCATCGGAGGAGAAAATAGTCGAACAGAAACTTTTATTTTGAAGTCCAGTTCTGGTCCAAACAGAGTCCCGGTGTTTGAGCTCTTCTTCACCACATTAATGAAACCATCAGCTGTTCTGGTTCAGAGGAAACGGACCCTCTCCTGAGCCGCTGCGGCGTGAATAAAGTTCTGGAGCTTGTTTATGTGCGCTCTCTGTTTATCATCGCTTTATTTCCCTCATTGACTCAGTGGAGGTTGTTTTGGAGGATGCAGCGTCCCGGAACAGGAGGAGGGGAGCCGAGAGTGTGTGAGGGTGATATGAACACACACACACACACACACACACACAGTTCACTCATCAGTCGAGCATTTTCATCAGCTGACATTTTCTGACATTTAGTGACTTCCTGTTTCTACTGCAGCTTATAATGAAACAAATCAATACTGTAAATATTGAGCAAACGGAGCGAATGAGCAGAGACGGTTTTAACGACTTTAAATTAACATCAAATAATATTTACAGGTTTGTTTGTAGGATTGAGAGCGCCCAGACTAAATTAATGTGATTTAAAGTTTATATACATGTTTATATAAATATATTTGTTTTATTTAGTCTGTTTTCTGGTCTCTTATTCACTTAAATACTCATGAAGGATTCTAAACAGAGATGTCATTCTAATCATTTCTTTGCTAAAACTAAACTAAACCCAAGAACTAAACCCAGGAACTAAACCCAAGAACTAAACCCAGGAACTAAACCCAGGAACTAAACTAAAGAACTAAACTCAAGAACTAAACCCAAGAACTGAACTCAAGAACTGAACTCAAGAACTAAACTCAAGAACTAAACCCAGGAACTAAACTCAAGAACTAAACTAAAGAACTAAACCCGAGAACTAAACCCAGGAACTAAACTAAATAACTAAACTAAAGAACTAAACTCAAGAACTAAACTAAAGATCTAAACCCAAGAACTACACCCAGGAACTAAACTAAAGAACTAAACCCAAGAACTACACCCAGGAACTAAACTCAAGAACTAAACTAAAGATCTAAACCCAAGAGCTGAACTCAAGAACTAAACCCAAGAACTGAACTCAAGAACTAAACCCAAGAACTAAACCGAGGAACTTAACTAAAGAACTAAACCCAAGAACTATACTAGAGAACTAAACTCAAGAACTAAACCCAGGAACTATACTAGAGAACTGAACTCAGGAACTAAACCCAAGAACTAAACTAAAGAACTAAACCCAAGAACTGAACTCAAGAACTAAACTCAAGAACTAAACCCAGGAACTAAACTCAAGAACTAAACCCAGAACTAAACCCAGGAACTAAACCCAAGAACTATACTAGAGAACTAAACCCAAGAACTAAACTCAAGAACTGAACTCAGGAACTAAACCCAAGAACTAAACCCAGGAACTAAACTAAAGAACTAAACCCAGGAACTAAACTCAGGAACTAAACCCAAGAACTAAACCCAGGAACTAAACTAAAGAACTAAACCCAAGAACTAAACCCAAGAACTGAACTCAAGAACTGAACTCAAGAACTAAACTCAAGAACTAAACCCAGGAACTAAACTCAAGAACTAAACTAAAGAACTAAACCCGAGAACTAAACCCAGGAACTAAACTAAATAACTAAACTAAAGAACTAAACTCAAGAACTAAACTAAAGATCTAAACCCAAGAACTACACCCAAGAACTAAACTCAATAACTAAACCCAAGAACTAAACTCAGGAACTAAACTCAATAACTAAACCCAAGAACTAAACTCAATAACTAAACCCAAGAACTAAACTCAGGAACTAAACTCAATAACTAAACCCAGAACTAAACTCAGAAACTAAACTAAAGAACTAAACCCAAGAACTAAACTCAGGAACTAAACTAAAGAACTACATTAAAGAACTAAACCCAGGAACTAAATTAGAGAACTAAACTAAAGAACTAATCTCAATAACTAAACCCAAGGACTAAACTTAAGAACTAAACTTAAGAACTAAACCCAGGAACTAAACTCAGGAACTAAACCCAAAACTAAACTAAAGAACTAAACCTGACTTTGTGAATCTGGAATTTTCCTAAAAACATGTTTTCCTTCGGATGAATCATCACAGTTATAAACAACGGAAAATGTCAGAATATCGGTTTTTCACGATCATATTTCTGTTGGTCAGTTTTAGTTTTTCATTCTCAAAAAGAGCGAGAAAAAAAGAGCGAGTCAAAAAAAAAGAGCGAGAAAAAAAGAGCGAGAAAAAAAGAGCGAGTCAAAAAAAAAGAGCGGCCTTTGGACCCGCAGACAGACGTCAGCTTTAAAACAGGCAGAACTCAGACGAGCCGTAGTCGGCCATCATTGAAGCTCTCCTGGACCCTGACTGTTGGATCAGTCCACAGGAGAAAGACCTCTGATTCTGGGTTTAGACTTTGTGGACCCCCAGCTCGCCCACCTCCCACTTCTGTCACTCTGTCTTTACATCCTGGTGAAGTTCAGGATTTGACTTTGTCCTCCTCTCTTCACTCTCTGGATGTTTCAGGCTGCATCGCTCCATCATGGAGCTTCACCTGCAGCTTTGGCTTCAGCGTAAACCCTCCCTGCTGAGACGTCTACCTGATGGTGGAGGTCGTTCCCTCGGCGAACAGGTGGGCAGAGCTCAATCAGCCCACTCAGCATTTCCACACATCCTGTGGAGCAGGAGGGACCACCGATGCCAAATCACTCTGGTGAGCTGCCCACTGCACACATTAGAGCTGTGTGTGTGTGTGTGTGTGTGTGTGTGTGTGTGTGTGTGTGTGTGTGTGTGTGTGTGTGTGTGTGTGTGTGTGTGTGTGTGTGTGTGTGTGACGTCCTTCAGGGATGAATGTCAAACTCTTTTATTTGATTTTGTTTTAAATCAAATCAGATTTTTTGAGAGTATTTAAAAGCTCTTAAGAGCTCCAAGATTTGGTTTCCAAGACTTTCCAGTAATCAGGGCAGAGTGTGTGTTTGTGTGTGTGTGTGTGTGTGTGTGTGTGTGTGTGTGTGTGTGTGTGTGTGTGTGTGTGTGTGTGTGTGTGTGTGTGTGTTCTATTTTTAGAGCACTTTCATACTTAGACCAACAACATCCAACTCTGTGAGGAAGAGGAGAGAAAGAAAAAAGGCTTTGGAGGAAATCTTGAATATGTTTGACCTTCTTTACTGGATTCATTTGCATCAGGCTTATTGGATGAAAGCTGTTTTGTGTGCCACGTAAATTGGCATTTTCTTGTGGGAGGAAGATACTGCGTGTGTAAATATTCAGCGGGAGTCGACTGAAACCTTCCCTTGGGCTGCAAATTAAAGGTAGTGGAATATGAAATGTTTTTTTTCAGAGGAAGATGAAGTCGGTCGGTCGGTGTGGTCAGAGAAGAAGAGGAGCTGCACTGTAGAAGGTTAACAAAGGAGAGCTGCTCTCTCAGGCTCCTCTCTGCTGATGGTTTGGTGGTCGCACATTTCAGAGGAGACTTTGGTTTAATTTGTGCAACAACAACAACAACAACAACAACAAGTGTACGTCCAGTAAAGATCATTTCTAAACTGTCTGCTGATGAGCTGCTGCAGCTCTCACTCCTCGGACTCTGGCTCCGTACAATGTGCAGCGCTGATTAGATCTCTGCAGGGTTTCTCTCACTTCCAACCTTATTATTGGATTCTTTCACAACACTCAGGAGGGAGGATGAAGCCTGCGCTCAGAATAGAGGTAAATGTGTGGAGCCTCCACCTCGGCTCAGGAAATCATCGCTCACAGTGGTCCAGCGAATAAAAGGAAGCAGGAAGGAGAGGAGAGGAGAGGAGAGGAGAAGAGAGCAGAGGAGAGGAGAGGAGAGGAGAGGAGAGAAGAGAAGAGAAGAGAAGAGAAGAGAAGAGGAGAGAAGAGAGGAGAGGAGAGGAGAGGAGAGGAGAGGAGAGGAGAGGAGAAGAGAGGAGAGGAGAGGAGAGGAGAGGAGAGGAGAAGAGAGGAGAAGAGAGCAGAGGAGAGGAGAGGAGAGGAGAGGAGAGAAGAGAAGAGAAGAGAAGAGGAGAGAAGAGAGGAGAGGAGAGGAGAGAAGAGAAGAGAAGAGAAGAGAAGAGGAGAGAAGAGAGGAGAGGAGAGGAGAGGAGAGGAGAGCAGAGGAGAGGAGAGAAGAGAGGAGAGGAGAGGAGAGGAGAGGAGAGCAGAGGAGAGGAGAAGAGAGGAGAGGAGAGGAGAGGAGAGGAGAGGAGAAGAGAGGAGAAGAGAGCAGAGGAGAGGAGAGGAGAGGAGAGGAGAGAAGAGAAGAGAAGAGAAGAGGAGAGAAGAGAGGAGAGGAGAGGAGAGAAGAGAAGAGAAGAGAAGAGAAGAGGAGAGAAGAGAGGAGAGGAGAGGAGAGGAGAGGAGAGGAGAGGAGAGGAGAGGAGAAGAGAGGAGAGGAGAGGAGAGGAGAGGAGAGGAGAGGAGAGGAGAGGAGAGGAGAGGAGAGGAGAGGAGAGAGGAGAGGAGAGGAGGGGAGGGGAGGAGAGGAGAGAAGAGAGGAGAGGAGAGGAGAGGAGGGGAGGAGAGGAGAAGAGAAGAGAGGAGAGGAGAGGAGAGAGGAGAGGAGAGAGGAGAGGAGAGGAGAGGAGAGGAGAGAGGAGAGGAGAGGAGAGGAGAGAGGAGAGGAGAGGAGAGGAGGAGAGAGGAGAAGAGAGGAGAGGAGAGGAGAGAGGAGAGGAGAGGAGGGGAGGGGAGGGGAGGAGAGAAGAGAGGAGAGGAGAGGAGGGGAGGGGAGGAGAGGAGAGAGGAGAGGAGAGGAGGAGAGGAGAGGAGAGAGGAGAGGAGAGGAGAGGAGAGAAGAGAAGAGAGGAGAGAGGAGAGGAGGAGAGGAGAGGAGAGGAGAGAGGAGAGGAGAGAGGAGAGGAGAGGAGAGGAGAGGAGAGGAGAGAAGAGAAGAGAAGAGAAGAGAGGAGAGGAGAGGAGAGAGGAGAGGAGAGGAGAGAAGAGAAGAGAGGAGAGGAGAGGAGAGAAGAGAAGAGAGGAGAGGAGAGGAGAGGAGAGGAGGAGAGGAGACTTCAGCACCCAGAACTACTACCTCTGACTTTATTTTCATTTTCAAAATGAAAGTGAAAATTAAATCTGTTTTTATTATCAATCTCCTGCAGGCCGATGTTGAGCTCTGTATCTGTGTTTCCAGGTTTGTAGGATCTGAAAGACTTTCATAAATACAGAGACTCAATGATCCGCTGTCATCCATAACAGTGAGAAGGAGAAGAGAAGGAGAGAGGAGAAGAAGAGAAGAGAAGAGAGAAGAGGAGGAGAGGAGAGGAGAGGAGAGGAGAGAGAGAGAGAGAGGAGAGGAGGAGAGAGAGGAGGAGGAGGAGAGAAGAGAAATAGGAAGAGAAGAGAGGAGAGGAGAAGGAGGAGAGGAGAGGAGAGGAGAGAGAGAGAAGAGAAGAGAAGAGAAGAGAAGGAGAGGAGAGGAGAGGAGAGAGAAGAGAGGGAGAGGAGAGAGGGAGAGAGAGAAGAAGAAGAAGGAGAGAGGAGAGGAGGGAGAGGGAGAGAGAGAGGAAGAAGAGGAGAAGAGAGGAGAGGAGAAGAGGGAGAGGGAGAGGAGAGGAGAAGAGAGGGAGAAGAGAGGAGAGGAGAGGGAGAGAAGAGAAAGAGAAGAGAGGAGAGGAGAGGAGAGGAGGAGAGGAGACTTCAGCACCCAGAACTACTACCTCTGACTTTATTTTCATTTTCAAAATGAAAGTGAAAATTAAATCTGTTTTTATTATCTATCTCCTGCAGGCCGATGTTGAGCTCTGTATCCGTGTTTCCAGGTTTGTAGGATCTGAAAGACTTTCATAAATACAGAGACTCAAATGATCCGCTGTCATCCATAACAGTGAATCCAGAGTGAACTAACCCGGACTCATTATTGGTCACCATCTACTCTAAGTTATAAACGCCGAGGATCGAAGGGAACGACCAGAGAATTAAAGAACACACATGGTAACGGTTAAATGTCATGAACATAGTTGAACCCGTGAGGTGATATGAACACAGACTCCATGATGACAACGGTCTTCTCCTGTAAAGACTGATGAACACATGAAGATGTGGTCAGAACATAAACACCAGACAAACATCTCTGCTGAACTCAACCATGAAGATTTAATACTGTGCTTTTTTCAGACTTTATCACGTCCCTCAGATCAAACTTGCGGCTGAGAAAAGAACGAATCAGGTCGGAGTGAGTCAGTTCACGTCGTTCACTCAGCAGTTTTTTATTTAACGAATCGTTCATGAACGACACGAATGAGAGAGAGAGGAGGGGTCTAACCTGACAGCAGCCTCCTCTTTAGACCCTCCATCCTCTGATTGGTCAGCTCTCTATTAGGCTCCTCCACTGTTGTCAATCTGACCCTTAATCCTGAGATAAAATGAACCTAACTTTTAAATCCAGTATCTTTAAACTTTTAATCATGACAGACTCAGACGGTCGATTAAAGACTTCATCACCACGACGACAACAACAGCTGCACATGTTCATGTTCTCACTCACCAGCTCAGGCCTTAATCAGCCATTTATCCCCTCACTCACTTCATCATAATAACCATAAAAGGCTCTGATGTGAGGACGGCGTCGACTTAGACAAATGG